GAACACGAATTATTTCCGAATAATCTTTCGCGAAATGTTCGAGAATCTGATCGATAGTATAAGAAAACTTTTCATTTGTTTGATACAAACTTATGTTTACCGATAATGTACACGTTCTGATATAGAAGAGTAATTTATTAGTAAATACGGAGTCTTGCAGATTCGGTTCTCGAAGTTGGGTTAAATAAAATTTGTACGGATCACTCATCAGATAATGACAGCCGATATAGTAATTGATATGATTGACGATATCAGATGAAACATATTCATTATATTCATGGATTAAATGTGAGAGAACATCGAACCAAAGGTTAACGATTTTAAAATATGTCTCATCCGTTGCATCGTCAGTTCTATTGATTTGTTCGAACACATTGTTGATGCGTTCGATGGTATCGGGAACGAGAAGAGATACTTTTGTATCAGTTTCAATATCATCCTGACAAAAAATCAATTTCATATTGAACGATGCAAGAGCATAAAATAGTTTCGTATAGCACTGATCATCGATCCATTGTCGAGAATTACTACCAAGTACTTTCCATGTCCAATGTTCGATGATAAGTAAAGAACGAAACGATTGAGAAATGAATGAAGGTATCGATTTCGATGTTTGCTCTTCGAGAAGGTGTGCCAATTTGCTAAGATCACTAGTTAATAATGTTGAAGAGAGTGCCGAGGTGAAAAGTGCATTAGACTTTTTCATGATGTCTTGCAAAATGTTTGTTGTCTTTCGCTTGCCAATGCTTTAACATAACACAAATGATTATATATATATATATACAGGCACTGACTACATACGCTGACGTAGATATTTTGTAGAGTATCAGCAGAAAAAGAAATCTGATATCTATATTTCGCCTTGATGATGACCTAGGTACGTATGAAGAAATTATTAAATTGCGCTTTGTATTTTACGACTATTATCAACTGATTCGACATCTACATTCTTAGACAAACATATACGATTCTGTTTCTTTTCTGTGCTGCCACGCTTTATATCAAGTTTTTTTATTTATTCTGTGTTGCTTACCTGAAAAAGGCTTAATCCGACATATGACGTAGCCGAGGAAAACATATCCTGAGAGAACGAACGAATATTGGCGAGAGTTACACTTTCTAGAGTAAATATTTTAATACCAATTTCAAACGATAACGAAAGTGTGCGAAGATATAATTATCTGCGTCACTTCTTTTACTCATTCGGTAAATATTGTGTGCGGTGTGAATTGCATGATCTGACAAATAGAATGATAGGATGAAAAATCAAGCACTGACAAGAAATAATAATGTCCAAAAAGTGGATGTGTTCGCGTACAAAGAATCGATATTAGGACATGTCACACCAACTGTATGTAATAGTAGATCGACAGTAACTTCAAATGGACTATTTTCAAATTGAATCATAATATTCAAACGCTTTACACGATGGCGCTCATATTGATTCGTAGAAGGGTGAATCGGACTACAAGTTTAAATTCGACATCAAATATACCGTTACAATTGAACCAAGGGACTAGCTCAGAATAAGAACTTGCGAACTTTTCATTTTATCCAATACTTAGTAAGTCGTAGTTTCGCAGTCAACACTATTCTTCCTACACTGATCAATAATGATCTACCCGTTAATATCAATATAAAAAGATAACATAGGTGACTAATCTATCGACTTTTTACCAAATGACACGAACGATATATTAGCCGATTAGCTTATATTAGTTCAGTATACGACTCATTTAATAAAATAGACATGATCAATGAGGAAACGTAACAGGTTAGTTCTAATCGATGTTACTCTGGTTTTTGCTGCCCTTTCATGGACAAAGAAACATGAAACAGAAGAGCTGTTTTGTGTCTCTAGTATTGATGCATATCTTATGAGAAAATTTATCTAGACTTAGTCATGGCTAGGCTAATTTTTAATCTGTGAAAGAATAAATATCACTCGATCTTTACAATTCAAGGAAAGCCTGAAGGTACCGATTCCATCTTCGAGAAAAAGGCAGACAGCTAGAAAAAAAAACGAATAGAAGTGTGAAACTTGATGAGGATCTTGAATATTCGAGCAGAGTTCAGGCGGTCCAGTACATGGAGATTCTGTCTTGTCTCCCATTCAAACTCAGTGAGTTGAACTTTTCATTAAAGATTTCAAAAGTGTCACAAAAAGACAAGAAAAAGACGGCTTCGAAACAATCAGCTTCAAAATTATCTCATGTCCTTCTCCTTTATGATAATTTTAAGAAGACTGTTTTTCAACTTTACAATCTAGCATATAATCTTCTTTCCAGATTTGATGTCAATTTTGCTTGGAAGAAAACAAGAGAATTTGTCATGAAACAAAGTAGATCATTTGTAAGAGTCTAGTGTGAAAAAAAATCCGCATTGTCTAATCTGACGAAAATCGTTACAAATCATTGAGTCAAGAGTCAAGCAAGCACTCCAAATCTTATGTTGCTTTTTTTATCCAAATCAGAGAAATATAGCTTATCCTAGGACAAAATTCATAATTGTCTTCTTTGCCAACTAGCAATAAATCTCGGTTTCATGTAATAAGAGTTTCCAAGCCAATTTCTCCTTCAATTTCAAACTTTTTCTCTTGTGTCGAGATTGATGCCAAAAACAATATAGTCATAGATAGAGAGTCTCTTGTCTTTTAGTAGACAGAAAAGCTGTGCTGCTACGTTATTGGCTTAAGCATGTTCAATTGTCAGATTACTGAATGAATAAAAGGTTACACATAGGATGCCCTAGATTCATTTGATTCCACATATTTCTTGTATTACTCATTAAGTTATCTTGTTCCTTGCTGCTGTTTTTTATTCTACCTCGGACATTTTCCCATAAAAATTAGAAAGTAAATTATCGTGTTGTCACAATGGACTTGATACTAATCTAATTAGGTTACTTGTATAGAATTTTGCAAAATAGACAACTCTGGCGAACTATTTTGGACTATGCGCATAAAACACATGAGCATCTGGAGCAAGACCGTCATGCGTTATGGACACATCTTGAGGACTGCGTATTTCATGCGCCTAATAAAAAGTTCTATATAAGAAAAGGTAGTTTCGAATGTCAATCACTTTCCAGATCGAATAGTTTTCAACTGAAAATAGGTTCGACTTATAAAAATATATCTAATGCTTTTAATCACGGTTTTAATGAAAGTTATTCTTCCATACGCGTGACTTTCTTGAAATTCTTGAACAAGAAAGTGATGTGCTATCAAAATGAAAACGAAGTACATCCGTATTCCTGGAGTACACGTAGTAAAGTCGGAGTACCTGAAGTACCATGGAGTACATCGAGTGTAATATAAAATCAAGGGAAACATGATGTACTTCAGTATTTCCGTACATCCTAGACTTCTAGTACTCTCACTGTATTCTATGGACTCCATCAACTCCAGATTACTGTGAGAGTCCATGAAGTTCATGCATTCCGATTCGACTCCATTGAACTCCCTACACTCTGAAAGTCCAGGGAGTCCAGCCGGAGTACATAGATACCGTGGAGTACCGGCGTACGTCATTTTCCCTTGTATGCTATAGACAAACCTTGACGTCTGCACAGGTCAAGCATACGAAAAAAAGGTTCGCCTTGGAAATGATTGTCCTCAATAGTTTAACACAGTTTTTCTAACCATCTGATAAAGCAATGAAGCATTGACACTGAGTTCTATGAGATGTTCAGGACGAGAGTGAGGATCATAGAGGTTAAATATGAATTTCGGGCATGTCATTTGTGATTATAAAAATTCCGCGAATTAATGGGAATCCCGAGAATCCGGAAATCCGAAATCCGCCGTTTTCTCCTTGTCGTATGGTCAACATTTATTAGATACACATATAGATAATCTTGTTTTAGAACAGCGAGAGAATAATATCTCATTTATTTAATAGATATTGAAATAATTTTAATATCATCTAAAGGTTTGTCAAGTCGATCTGCTTTTGTTTTAGAAATTTTTTCAATTACATCCATTCCTTTTGAAACTCTTCCAAAAATGGTATGTTTGTTATCAAGCCCTGGACATGGAATAACAGTTATAAAAAAATGATTTCCATTTGTATTTGGCCCAGCATTTCCCATTGACAATGTATATGGGCGATCATGTTTTAATTGGGGATGACATTGATCTTCAAAATCTTTTCCTCATATTGATCGACCATCTGTACCATTTCTCAATGGATCACTTTTCGAAAAACAAAAACAAAATAATGTTTAAGTAAAATAAAATGAAGAGTTTATACGGAATTTCAGTGCTAATAGCATTAGCATCCATTTTTTTCAACAAAAGTCCGAGTATCTTTTTTAGGTAATGAGGATAAATTTTATCAGCTAAAATATAAACACAAGTATAACATAATAGAATACGCTTCCTAAATTGCTTTAACTCTCACCTCACCCTCACCCGCGCTCTCTCTCCCATCGGTCTCCCCTCACTCTTACTCGTACCTTCCTCCCACTCCTTCCCTCAATCGCACTCTAAAATCTATATAAAATTTTACTCCGATTACCTTTTTTCTGTTCAGAATTTTTTCTTTTTTTGTGGGTGTGGGTATGGGTGGGTGTCGGGGTGGTGGTGGGGTGTGTGTGAGTGTGGTTGTAGGTGTGGATGTGTGTGTACGTTTGGGTGTAGGACGACAAAAGACCAACATTCACACCTACCCACACTCACATTCATACTCACAGCCCACCCACAGCCTACCCACATGCACACCCACAGCGCACCCACACGCATACCCACCTCACATTCATAGCCACACACCAATATCCTACACGAACGCCCCATCCATCCACACCCAGATCGACACCTATACCCACACACACGCCCACATCCACATCCACACTCACACCCAGGACCACATCGTTAAGATAGGAAATCATAAGAAAACTTGAAGAAATAAAATAAGAAATACAAGCTACATAGTCGGATGCGTATAGTGAAAAATGGAAAAGTTTGTTGATCAATATCTTCAGTTAGGTGTTTATGGTTGTTAGATATTACTATCGTGAACCGATGGAAAACTATTATCCCATGTAACATCACTAATCGTACTGTCCATACGTTGTATTCGATTCCCATGTGCGTCAGTTGTTTCAAAAGCTGTACCAGTATTCTGGTAAATGACCTGAGTTGTTCTTGGACCAATCTTGATTTCCGGACGTACTCTGGGAAATTCATTAAGTGCCTCTACAACTGCTAGATTGGGTTCACAATTCTAGATAGGAGAGAAAACGAAAAATAAACAAAAGCATAATAGTGTTCGTTTTGGATTCATGTTTACCTTCAGTTTACTACGATTTGTGTTTGCAGTTTCAAACGATAGTGGTATACGTTCCATCATACATCCATAAGCCATCGGTGTCAATTTAATTACTGTATGCAATGGCACTTTCATATAAGGTAGACGCTCTATATTTAAATGCATATAATCGATATTAACATAGGTGATGTTTCATATATAATAATATCATATGAAACAGAATGACTTCTACGTACCAGGATCTTTGTCGAGAAAGTAAGCAAGAATACAACGAATTACAGCTTGGTGAGTAATAACAAGTACGTTTTCTGCTCTTTCCAGTTCCATAATCACTGATTCGAGTCTAGCAACAAGATCGTGATAAGACTATATGAAAAAAAAAGAGAAATAAACGATGAAATCACCAGCAAACTCTTCAAACATCAACTAATCAAGTTAAAGAAACATCTGTTTCAGTTCAAAAGTGTTTTAAATAAGTCAATATTGAACTCAATCTTATCTACACATAGCTGCCTAATACATTTAGTAGTAACTAAGAGTTAGTTGGTCTATTCCAAATCTTCTCGTACGACGACTTCTAACTTCTACAAACTGTAACTAAAGTGATGGATCATCATAATAAAAATTTGTGCATTTTAATCTGAGCCAATGGTGTCTGATGAAATTTTTCTATTTACAAATCAGCGTCATATGATATACGAGTTTGTTTTCGATTTCGAACTAAGAGTGAAAATCAGCGATAGAAAATATAAGACATGTTCCCATTAGTTTCGAGAATCGATATAGATAGTTTTTGATAATTTACTTTAAAGCTACAAAGTCAAATTTATTCTTAGATTAGAATAGAAGTCTCATGCATGTCTATGAAACTGGACAAAATGACAACTTGCCTCTCCACCCGGATATTGATAGTAGTATTTTGATCGATTACGAGCAGCAAAGTCTTCAGGATAGCGCTCAGCTACATCTTGATAGGTCAAACCTTCGAAAATACCCTAGATAAATACAAAAACTTTGTTTATCATTATGACTCTAGACTAAATCTTCATACAGCATGAATTCCATTGAGTGCTTTCCATTGCTCCTTGGGAGCATTGATTTTTGCTGCTGTGTCGATCGCTTGTTGCATTTGACTTGTCCAAACAATCAAATCTTTGATGTTTTCTATTTTGTACACAAGAAAATCACTGTAAAATCATTATTCTAGAAAAGCTCACCATTCGCGATGTATTGGGCGAGAGCGTCGGTATACTATAATAAAAACATATATAAATAATGGCGAATATCGAAAATCAATGACAATTAATACCGCTTTGCCAGTTGGTGATAAGGGTGAATTGCGTCCTATACGCTGTTGAACATTCATTTCTGATTCACCATGCTGAAATATATTGAAATAAATCAGTTTTCATCAATTAAAAAAACCTATAACTGACCATAGTAAGATAGATAGTTCTCGGAAGAACATGGATATTCATGAGAAAATAAACGACACGACTTTGAATATTGCCTAGAATGAACATTATAAAGGTGAAATATTAGTTTATCAACATGTTATACTTACCACCGATCTTATGAACAAGAAATCGTTCACCACAATTATAAATTTTGATAAATGAATAATGCTTTTCTTCTATCTTATCATCAATGGGTTCATACTGTTTTTCATAGAGTTCAATACGTGAAAGAAAATCTACGACGGCTTCTGCTTGTGGTATGTCTTTGTAATCAGGACTTTTGAGTTTCACTTCCTGTCATATTCAAACAAGTCTTATAAACTAGAAAGAAGTTTACTTCACTTCCATACTCGAATATTTGCTTCAATGACTTCTTGCGAATCACAAATTGATTCGACAAAAAACACACGAAAACAGTATGTTTCAGTACAACAATTGTATATTGTACGGCGTCGCTCACGGGTCGTATTGGTTGCATCAAATATGGCCACTTCACCTTCGTTCTGAAGAAAGTTACACATATCTTCCAATGCATTCTGGGCACATTGACTATAAGAATAAATTGAATTGACATTGTTCAACATGAACTTGTATCTGACATGGACAAATACTTACTTTCGAATTGCTACTGCTTCAGCATTGTCAGGATCAAAAAATTCCTTGCCTGCATAGAATTTTACAGCATCACGACGATAGTCGCCAACATTGAATACTGTAAACACAAAAGCGAAGTTTTGATCTTATATGAATATTTTCTTCCAGAGGGTTTTTGTTTGTAGAGTAGAATAGTTAAAAATGATGAATATCATGTCAACCTCGTAATTTAGTTGACATACGACTTTCTCTGTTCCATGTACCGAAGTGAAAGAAATATGATCATTTTCAAATGAAAATTTCTGAACGATTTTCTCAATCTTCATTTGAATCGATACATCGAGTTTTATTCATGTTTATAGGGATGCAGCGGTGATGAAAACCGGTCCAACGACAGTCGTAGCAGAGCGATAACCGTCTTACCAGTCATCAGTATGAATCGGTAGCCGGTATTCATTTGTGAACATGGGTGAATATGATGGAAGGGAAGTTTAACATTACGTTACCATTTATGAGGTAACTGCAAGTTCATGGATTTGATTCTTTCGTCAACGAACGGTTGTTGAAAGAAAATTACAATTTTCTATAAAGCTTGATCACAGATTTGCGTGGCCCAAAAATTCGATCTGTACTTCGTTTCTCATAAATATATACTTGATCACTCGGCCAAAGTTCTCAAATAATTTTTCCTTGACGGTAAAATCAAATATGAAATTTAGAGAAACCGGTTACGGATTCGGAATTTCCGATCCTGAAAGTCTTTAATAAAACTTCATAAAAGATCGTAATTTCCTCAATAGCTATTCTCTAACGAAAAAGAAATTCATAAATTTTCCGTTATCCGTTACTCAGTAGCTGAGAAATGTAACGGCATTGCTATTGGATACTTGGAAACTGTTTCGTTACCAGTTACTGGGTAATAGTGCTGTTACTCATTGATTAGTACCATAAATGTTTATTAATGATAACTTCCCAGTCCTAGTGAATATTTGTGATAACTGGTGAATACTGATGAATGCAGGTAAATAACGGTGCATATCGATTTATACCAGTTACCGCTTTAGGTCGGTGAAACGGTGACTGTAAACTAATGAATGATTCTCACCATTGCATCCGAGGATGTGAATATGTTGTTGGTGACATCATGCATCGTGAATAGAGTCACTTGTGAAAGACTTCAAGAGATTCTGGAATGATTGTCTAATGACAGTCAGTTGACATGCATAAGAGAGTACGCGTTTTCAACAGAATGTTAAACGATAAATCCGTTTCATGACAAAATAAACAGAGAAAAATTTACGAATCCATTCAATTCCTGTTTCCAATCAGTTTTATTAATAGAATCGATCAAAAGTCATTCGTCCTTTTCTTTTATTAATTCATTATGATTATTAGTTTTCAAGAAGAAATGTAAAACAAACCTTTTGTTTTGATTCCAATCCAATGCAAATATCGAGCTAATTTTCGAGCCATGTACGTCTAAAATATAATAGGGTTCATATTTTCCATTTCTAAAAAATGCGAGAACAATCTTACTTTGCCACGTGCCGGTAAGCCCACCATCATCTTGAATATATGATTTTACAAATGTAAGTTAAATGAAATAGAAGCTTGAACTTACGATGACCGTTGGTGTTTGTACGAGCCGATCGCGACATGCTAAAATTGAAAAGTGAAACGAAGAAGTCATAGTCATTCGACCAAAACAAAATCAGATAGCTCCTCTGCCTCCATATGTAAGTCCGCATATCTTTACTGACATGAGTGGATTGGTATCGGTCATTTCAACCCCACTAATGAAAGGCATCTGTACAGTTACATATGTGTAATATGCATTCTTGACTCAAACGATAGATATCAGAACAGCAGCTAAGCGGTTCAATCAGTCTAGATAACAGTATTCGAATCTTCTCACCTTGACTTAGTTGTCGGAATATGCGAGGATTACGCTGCTTTGTAATTGAATCACTTTTTCGCCATGCATGTATGTCGTTATTGAGCACTTTCCGTTGATTCATCATATTGCTATGCTGTTTTACATCAGCGACATGGTCATTTTCTACGTCTTGTCGCCCTTTAGTTTCAAGTTGATTTGCCATTCTTTCGAGTTTTTCCATGTCGTACATTTCCAGTTGATTTGGACTATTTCCTAAAAGTCGGCATAAAACCTTGATTCTAGTAACGAAAAATGATTTCTCACAATCGTCTATGAATCAGAACGATTCACCATGATTTAATCAGTTAATTTGATAATCGATTAGCAATCTGACGAATAATGCAAAATGCTGAGTATCATGAAAAATAATGGAAAACACATCCGATACAAGCTTTCATTTACACAAATGTGCGCTGTGTTCACGAAAGAAGCTTCGGTTTTCGCTATGATTGTCATTTATGTGTGAAGCATGCAATGCTGGTGTTTATCAAGAGAGAACAAACTCGACGAACCACTTCTGTACGCTGCAGCTCACTCGATTGAAATGTAGGTGTGGGTTAAGGGTCGGGTGTGTCTATTGGCATTAGTCTTTTCTTCATCCATACCTATACCAACTACAAGTTGTATCGCACTCAGCCTGTTTGTTTTTGTAAAACTTTTCGTTTTTAATAAAAGTACTATTAAAAAGAATGCAAACGCTTGCAACATGATTGTTTAGTGGCATTGGAAATATTAATGAAGGACGTGCAGAAGAGAACAATTCTAACTGGTGTGTATGCATCTGATCACACATCGGATCCACTAGGAACTTGGACGCAAGTCACTATATGAATTGTGATCTACGGTACGCATACATCGACCGTACATGTAGCTTGAAAACCGAATAACATTGACTTCATTTCTTCCGAAAAGTCATTTTTAATCTTCTCATGTTGAAAAAAATAAGCATAATTTTTGTATAAGTATTATCCGACGGGAAAATCAAGAAACTCAATGACGGGCCTTGCTTACAAATAACGATCCACTGGAGAAAAACAGTTAATGTTAAAAGAGACTTCTACTACTTACGTGTTTGCGAGAGAGTATCGGTCATGGTCTTTTCGATTGCTTTCTGAGTCGATAAAATCGAGTTTTCAGTCATATTGTAGTTCAGTTGTACAAGTAAGAGGAATATTGGTATATTATGTTCGTAAAACGTATAAATAAGCAGTCTGTGCGCAGTTTCACACGGCCTTGATTAATCCTTTCGTTCTCTGATTCATTTTTAGGTAAGAAATCAATACTGATAAGAGAAGCCCTTCTCTTTTCTTTTCTCCATATTGTCAATGAAAAAAATAGTACACATGACGTGTATGGATATTTTATCACTATTTGATGAATAAATCTGTATTTTCGGTATGTCAGAGTACTGTTGTTAATTGATACGAAGTAGTCAAAGATTGATTTTTTTTCATCGATTGCAAAATGTATGGATCAAATCTTCTCCATCATTTCAACAATCATTTAATAGTTTTCATATGACCATTTTTCATTATGCGTCAATAGTTTCTAGCAATATTATAGTTTTTTTCATATTGTGAGCATTTCTTAAAGGAAACATCCGTATTTGGTCAGTATTTACAATTCACTTCGAAAAAACGGCTGCATAACCTTACTCTTTCATAGGAAGAAAAAGTAAAGCGAGCCGCCCTGTTCTCCGTTCTAAGATTAATCGTATGATGTATAAACCATAGTAAGAAAAATCGTCATTACAATACGAGTTTGCTTTTCTCGTTCTGTCAGAAAAATATGGAGAGGACGGTTGGCTATGCGCAATTACATCATCTATTTCTGTAACTGAAGCTGTCTCTTGAGGCAAGAACAATTTATTGGCTATTAGTTTTGTTTCAATACTCTGTGTGGGTGTGGATTTTGGTATAAGTTATCTCTTCACTTGCACCGACATCCATCTCATGCCGTAACCGTTTTGCAAGTTTTTTTTCTTAAATGACTTCCATTCGGCTATTCGATTGAAGTCTGGGGCAAAACTTGGATGAAATCGTGTTTTGTTATTGACAGTGAATGGTTCGAATCATCTTTCTATCAGATGAAATTATGCATGCACAGCATCTGGATCCCAAATATTTATTCATAGAGCGCTGATGTGGGTGTGGAATGTGGATGTGGGTGGGTAATTGTCTGTGTTAGTGAAGGACGAGGGCTTCCATGTCAATTCACTCGCACCCACACTCCTATATTCGGAATGGACCGATAAGATAGCCTTGACCGATATCATTGACATACTAATCAAAAGACTGGAGTTTAATAAAAAATTGTTTACCAAAGAAATCGACTGAAAAAATTTTAACAATAAACTGATCTATATTGAGATGCATTTAGATTGATCTTACAAAATATATCATACTTACATAAGATAGGACGTAGAAAAAAAATATCACGAAACTTTAGATCCCAAAAAGTAAGTTGGGATAGCCCTACAAACAATTAAGATTAGTCAATAGAAATATGCCTTATAAACAAGAAGACCTGTTCGTAAATAAAGGCTGCGGTTGGTGTGGGTGTTGGTTAATCATCGCCAATTACTCCCACACCCACCCTCAAGATAAATTCTTTTTCTGGTTGAGCCATTGGTGAGTTTTCAATGAATATATGAATGATAAATGTATCTGAAAAATAAGAAATTTATTGAAAATAATCGGGAATTAAGTGATAAAACATATTCAACTCTTTAAATTTCTGTACTATTTCAAAAGACAAAAGTTCATTATGCTCTATCAAGATATCTGTATTAAGCAAGTTCTGTTTTTTTCTCAAATGACATATCGGCCAAATCTGTTTAAAATAAAGAAAGTTTATTTTTCGTTCTCTTTTCACTATCTATTTTTTTGTTGGATAATTTTTTCAATTTTTGAACAGACAATCGAAACATTTTGATAGCCATAAAAAGTGAAATAATTCACAAGAATATAATAGACAATGCTTGAATAAAAAAAGTGCTACTACTAGTACTACCACTACAAAAAGAAATATTGTTGTGTCAGAGCCACAGCAACAGCAAAACTAAGACAAACATGCAAGAAAATCTACGTAAGAGTTTATGTATTCATAAGTGACGACTATTAGCTTGTTTTTCATTGGTTCTTGCTGGATGTTGTTCCATTGTACGTATTAATTTTGTTAGACACCAATCTCTTAGGTCATCATGACTTTCAATTTTCTCTAATGCTGGATCAGTATCATCTAATGTTTCAAATGTACGTGACAAAGCTTTAAATAATTCTTGTCGATCGTTATTTGTTTTATTTGCTGCTTTTTCAGGTGAAGTCAGTGAACTTCGTTAACGTTTTGATGAATTTTTTGATGAACTCAATAATGCCGATAGCGTTGATGTTGATGCCGGTGATGATATAGTATTCGTCACTTGTTCAGTATTAGATTTACGGCGAGTATTATCTAACAGATGACTTGTTAAAATTGGACTTTTGATGTCGTTCTTTTTGAATTGGTCGTTTCTTTCTGGTTGTTTTTATTTTTCCATGTAAGTTTTAAATGGAATTTTTGGTAATTCATCTAAACGATAACACGTTTTACAGATCTCATCGCTAGTTAGTCTTTGAATTCTAACATATTAATTAAAATTCATTTCATTATCGTATGATTTTGAACTTGTTGATGAGCTTTTATTAAGACACGGTGACATATTCGTTGCTGATGAATTCACGAAATTTTCAGTTTTGCTCGTTTTAGCCTTGGCTGTTGATTTGTCCGTATCTTTTTAAACATTTTTATCTTCTATATCAGAATCTACTGGTGATGGTGATGGTGAAGCAAGATTAATTTCGTCAAACGTTTCTGTAGTAACAACAGTAGATGATATTGGGTCAGTTTGACATTTTACATTTGTATAGCCTGAAATGAAGCAAAAAAAAAAATAAACATATATGTTGTTACCATAAAAACTCTTTTCGTATACTCATTGAATCATCAGTACTGGTACCACACGTATGAAGAGATCGATATAATTTTTCATAGTAAACCGAATTTAGAGTAATATAATACATAAGTGGTATTGGGTATGGCCAAATGTTACGGAATTTCATTTTTTTACATTGTAATACCTATATCTCCTCAGTAGTAAAAGCTAACTCTTTGAAGTTTTTATCATAGACAGAGACTATTAAGTTCTATTACTAGTAAAAATTTCATCGGCTTTTTCCTTAGCCAGAGCTAAGTTATTCCAAGAATAGTGACCGTTACGGAATTTCAAAAAATGGAATCTTTTTTGAGGGTGATGTGAGAGTTGAGCATTTTACTATGACTCGAAGTGACATATACATAACTGTTTTACGTATAAGTTATTCAGTTCTCCACAAGCTATCATAATATCACGTTATCTGCTAACAACTATGATTGCATAGAATAAAAAAGCTAAAAATACTGTTCGTTACGGAATTTCAATCGTTACGGAATTTCATGTTTCAAAGTGGAAGGTTTGAGGACCTGAAATTTTTAAATTACCATAATAAAAATATATCTTTTTCCTAATTTTCGAGTAGTACAAAGATAGTCCTATCGTTCCAGTAATCAAGTTTTATTCTCACAACAAATGCACATTAAAATTGCTGATCAT